CTGGTCAGGCACGAGGCGAGGATTTAGCATTGGAGCTGCAGCAGGATAGCAGGTGGTTTCATGGGATTCCCATAGAGAGGAAGCTGGCAGAGGCAGATTGCATCCAGGAGCATGCAGCGGGTGTCTGACATCCAGCAGAGAAGTCCCAAGCCCTTCTTCCTCTGCACCAGACCCAGAAAACACCGGCTGATCCTCCTTTTTCTCTTAGCTGAATTATTTAACTCCTGCAGTTTTTCTCTGCTAACCTGCCTAACCTGACAAACAGCGTTCACCACATCCTAGCAGGCATTAGGAGGACAGAAAAGCAGTGTTTCCTAYGTGCAGCCCTTGGTTTGGGAAAGGCCCAACTGCTCAGCCACGATTCAGGCCATTCATAACCGATGGTTATTTAAGATGTGCGTGAAAACACAGCTACAGATGCAGGACAAGAGCTGTGCTCAGCGGTGGGCTGCTTTCCCCCTTGCCCTAACACACCAGGTTGGATGTGGCCAGGAATGCCGTGAGCAAGGAAACAGCGTCGTGCCACAAGCGGGCAGGATGCGCCGGGCCGAGTGCTCTATCACACCTTCTGCAAGCAGCACCCACACAGTTGTTTTTCCTCTTCTGGTGGAAGATACTACAAGAGTTTCCTATATGCTTTTACAGTCACTGATGACACGTTTCTGGCCCCCTACTCTTCATCTGCTTCCTCACTCTGCAGTGAGCGAGCACTGAACGTAGTTCAGCGAGGAAGGGAAGTCTTCACGTCTGATACTAGTTTGTGCTGTAAACAACAGCCCTTAAAAGCACCCATTTCTGCCACGACCTATAAAGGAGCACAGTAAAGCCAGCCCACCGCTGCCCGTAAGCACCTGAAGCGAGGTGAGATGAATCCTGCTCGTGACAGCCTCGAGGAAGAAGTCAGCCCTTGCCGTCAGTCACCACGACGCAACGTCGGAGATAACCACGGAGCGTCTCCGTACTCGGAGCAGAAAGAACCCGGTGGTGACTCAGCTGCTTCTGTTGACAAACGATGATTTGCTTTTCCAAACACACACAAGGCAGCAAAACTGAATGCCAGAGGATCCCACACGGGGCCCCGCTCGTGGCGGAGACACAGGCTGAGGCCAAGCCTGGGAGCTGAAGGAGCATCTCCAAGGGTTGATCGCTTGCACCTTGATCCATGAGGAGGTTCCCTCATGCTACTAGTAGAGCACCCTCTCCACAACATGTGTAGGCAGCATTGGCCACCATGGCAGAGGCTGGGGCAGTTCATACAGTGGTGCTTTCCACACATGCTGCATCTGACATCAGCTGCTCTCATGTGGTGTTAAAAACAGCAAACGGAGGTGCAACAGACTGTTACTCTGTTTTGAATGTCACTATGTGAAGATGCTCAGATCAACTAGTCCTTATGCAGCAYGTGTGTTTTGTAGCTGCAGTTTGGTCTGCTCCTGTCCCTGTGTTCGGGAGATGCCCCTTCCCATGCGTTTTGCTTTGAGCAGCAAAATGTAGCTGGATTTCACCTCCCTGAGCCTGAGAAACCGCATGACTCAGAAACCTGCAATCTGCTTCAAAACAAAGCATTTAAGAGAAAAGATATAAGCAGTAATGGGGCTGCTCAGCTCAGGAGCATAACTGCTAGAGGGCTGCTCATATACTCAGAAGCCTTTAACCTTTCTCCAGCTTATTTTCTGTTTAACCACTGCAAGCCCCGAGTGCAACTGGGAGCCAACGTGTCACTTCAGATACGCACCCGCTGCTGTCCATAAAACGCTGGAGCCCGTGAGGCAGGAGGAGCTGCGGTGCTGGCACGGAGCAGCCGGAGTGACGTGGAGCAGGGAGAGCCGAGCACTCGTTCYGCATCCTCCAAAGGGCTTTCGTTCCTGCCAGTTAACCAGGCGCTGGCTTCCGAGGGGATTACGTGTCATCAAGACTCTTGGCTGTGACAACTGATTGTCTCCGGCAACAGTTTGGCCTTTGGATTCGTGGTTCTGAGCGCGTATCAGGAGAGCTGTCATCCAGTGCCTTGCGGAATGCTCTCTCTTCGCCTCAACATCCCTCATCCCAAATAAACAGTTCGCCTTAGGTGGACCTCCATCAAGAAGCTAAGATCAGCCCCAAATTTCAACACGAGCCTGCCTGGGACACTCTGTTTCCCATGCCTGCAGCTGGATGCAAGCATGACAGCCTTGCAGCAGCACTGTCCTTCTGCTGAGCTCTACAAGAGCCACCAAGCTTGGTGGTCGCCTGCCATCAGGGCTCACCTGCAGCCAAGTCCTTTGCAAAAGGAATCTGTTGCAGCCCTAGGCAGGAGAAATCCCAGGTGAGAGCAGCCAAAAGAGTGAATGGGTTTGGAATAAGACACCAAAACTAGCACAGAAACCACGGTAGAGCCTCATACTAATTGAGGGCCAGCCCACACTAAGACCACCAGACTGGACRCTCCTTGCAACCCAGTTTCCTACAGAGAAAACCCGAACTGGGTCTGGAAGACGGCTGCTCTTAGAGACGATCAGTCTGCTGGGATGGATCCTGCTCTGCTCTCTTCCCTCTCCTGCTATGTTCCTGCCCCCTCTAGAGGCTGYCAAGCTGCTTGCTCTCCCAGAAACCCGGAGACTGGTTGCAGGCACYATGGGGAGGTTGCAGGCACCTTTTGCTGCCATCCTCGGGCTGCTTTGCAGGATGTTTGCAGCACTCTGGCATCTCCAAGTCAAGAATGATTAGAGGGAACAGGTGAAGTGAAGAGAAAACTGAGGAAACGAAGATGGAGGAATAGGTAGAGGTCTCCAGGGTACCGCTAAGACCTGCCAGAGGACAAGCAGCTTCCTCCACCTCTCACACATCTGCTGCTGTCACCTTGAACGACTCCAGATCTTGTTCCTGAGGACAGAGAAAAGCCTGGGTCTCTGCACAGAGACACTGCAAAGCCATTTTGGTCTCTGAGGACATGTGAGGAAATGCAGCTGCCTCTTAAATAACAGCAGTTGACAACCAGTCGTGAGTAGATGAGTGATGGTGGCTGCAGCCATCGTGGCAAAGGATCTTATTTCAAGGATGAGCCAATGAAGGCCCATTCAGATATCTGYAGCCCATCATAAAGCTATTGAGGGAGCACCTGCCACAAAAACTTGATGTTTTTAAATCCTTGAAAAAGGACACGGTAGAAATAAGTCTACTTAGCTCACGTACTTCACTTAGTGACGCAATTCTTGAATAAAAACGAATAATGAAAGTGATGGGTGGTCAAAACCCATGTCCTGAGTAGGCTGAGGTTTGTTTTTCTTCTTAGTGTAGCGCTCGTTTGTGTGCAGAGAGGCCTAGAAATGAGGGTGCCTTTGCTGGGGACACAGCCTGCCAAGATGTCCCTCCAGGCTCGCTGGGGGACATGTTGATGGTCAGAGTGGGCAATGTGCTCAAGCCCCGTGAGCTCCCCATGTCCTGAGCAGTGGGCTGGATTTCAGGCCAAGSGGGATGTGCTTTGAGAGGGCACGTAGGGAAGCGTGCTCGCTACCAGGCCAGTGCAGCTCATGCACTCATCAGCACCAAACCCACGCTCCAACTTAAAAGTACATATATTTTTTCTCTTTCAGCTTATTCYAATCATAAAGCTAAATATCACAGCTGTTTTCCCTAAATGATTCCARGCTCACTGTCAAGCTCGCACTCCTTTGGGTCAGCAACCTCCTTTCCTTGCGTTCACCTCCACGACTTCTCTTAGCACCAGTTATCTCGCCCAGCTCCACTGGACAAAGCTGCCAGGCCGCCCACTAAGGGTTTTTTGGGTCTCCTCTCCTCCTGCCCCACGGTGTTGTCTCCTGCCCCACTGCCTCTTTGGGCAACAAGCCAGGTGGTGAGAAGCACAGGAATCCAAAGAGACCAGGACCACCAATCCCACACACATCTCCTTTGTTATATTCAATACATTGAATGCATCTCCCATGCATTAGACCGATGCTCCTCAAGCTAGAAAGATGAGTTTAGGCCTCGTTTCCCAGCATGACACATCATCCCCTTAAGAGGAACCATCATCTCTCTGTGCAGCTCTCCAATAATAGGAAAGACTTTGCTGAGTGCACCTCTGTGTTTATAAGTCATATTAAACTGCAATTGAAATGAAGTCCCTCTTTTCTCTGAAAGTTACAATTAGTTGGGCTGAGTWATTTTGAAAATTTATTTTGAATTTAGATGAAAAATGCATTGATATGATATATATGCAGCAGTAACATTCCTCTACATAAGGATTTCACAGCAGAACATGCAACCTCATACCCAGAGATCCAGCCTATAGATGAATTGCCTATATTCATAGACTTTAAACTTAAAACAAAATAAAAGCAGTTTTTTCAAAAATATCCAAGATTTTAGAAAGCTAAATCTTTGTTTCCCCCAAAAAAAGATCTGATTTACACATCCAGATTACAGCCACCAGACAATCTCCTTCAATCTCCGTCTTGTGTGGCTTCAAGCCTGCATGGGCAGATCCATCTCGCCTAACATGAGCTGAAAACACAGTGTCCCAACTGAGCCCATCACTAAGACTCCTACCAACATAAGCAGAGAGGCATCTCCCAGGGTTGACATGACCCGGATGGTCCAGGAATGAGACCTATGTCCTTATYCAGAAAGACTGCAAGGTTTTACATAAGTCCTTACAGAAAACAAGGGTTGCAAAGCATCTGGCACAATATATTGACAGGGACCCATGTTCCTTCAAGGAATAAAAATAAGAAGAAATATTAAACTAGATATTTCCACAGATAGGCATCAGAACTTACACCACACAAACACTTAATTTCCTGCTTTGGGTTCACTAGAAGATTTTGCACTTTGTTTAGTGAATTTTGCTAAGGTTTCTTCTTCCCCAGAACAGAATTGTTTATTCCTTAACCAAGTACGTTCCRCCACAACAAATGAGATTGAAAATGATTAATAAGCAGCTGAGGGATTCATCTGAGATTGACAAAGATTAACGTGCCTCTTATTCTTATCCGTCTTTTTGTTCTCTCTTTCTCTCGTAGCTACCTAGACAGCTTAGATCGAATTGGAGCTGCAGACTACCAGCCCACGGAGCAGGACATCCTTCGGACCAGGGTCAAAACAACTGGCATCGTAGAAACCCACTTCACATTCAAAAATCTCCACTTCAGGTGAGTCTAAAAGGGCAGTGCCATAGCAAATTTTCACAGCACCTATTTATCACAGTGCTTCTCCATGATTCACAAAGGCAAAATAGTGTAACTCCTGTTTTTAACAGTCAGAGAGCTCCTGTTCCTTCCCTGCAAAGGCTTCTGCATTTCAGGGTGTCAACAGTATGAAATGTTTTGCAATCCTATCCTGAAAATAATCATAAGCCTGTGCAGTCCTTCACCTTCACTGTACCTTCTTCTAAGCCAAATGCCACTTTCCTGTTTGCAAACACAATAAGAAATGGGTCTCATAACTGATGAAGCTTCTGAAATGCAAAAATATTTGGCCAAACTTCTTCATTTCTCCAGTGTGGGTCAGTCACATTGTTAACACTAGATATTGACACTCACAGATTCAACCATTAGAGAGATAAGAACGTGGAGACAGAAAGCCACACGTCATATTTAGAGTAGGTAAAACTGAGCCCAACCTCCCCAGATCCCTTGGCACTGCTGAGATTAAAACATAAGCACACACATCTCTAGTCGTTGCTGCTCCTCTTCTTCAGGCTCCAGATCTTGGAGGGGGACACTGAGCCAGTGGTCAAGGGCATGATGCTCCGTATTTGGAGCTTTCCGAGGACAGTGTTTAGAAAGGCCCGAGATGCTGTGGAAGTTTCCTCTGAGCAAGCAGGAGCGAGCGCTGAYGGCTCCTCTCCTGTGCCCTAGGCTCTTTGACGTCGGAGGCCAGCGGTCAGAACGCAAGAAGTGGATTCACTGCTTCGAGGACGTCACGGCCATCATTTTCTGCGTCGCGCTGAGTGGCTACGACCAGGTGCTCCATGAAGACGAAACCACGGTGAGTGGCAGCTGGGCCTCRGAGGCCCCGACGCTTCTTTACGGGGTGCTGCAGAGCCAGCGCTGCTCAGAGCTCCCCCGAGGCTCGCTGCGGTGCTAGAGCCATGCGCGGTGCTCAATCGGTCCCCTTCGACTCTCAAAGCCTGGGGAGATTTGTCCTCCATGCGCTTCAAAATCAACGCCTGCACTCCCAGGTAATGGTTCCTTGCATTGATAAAGCTGCTGTGTTTTTTTTTTCTTCCTCTTTCTAGCTGACCTGYATTTTGTCAAAGGGTGTTGAAGGGGCTCTATATCCAAAGGCAGAGTAGATGTGGACGGGTGGGCTTTTAAAGCAAACATAAGGAAACAGTCACACCGTGGTGCAGGGAGGTGGCGGGTGGCCACACATCCCTGAGTCAGGCTCAGACTAGGAGCATAACCTATTTCTTCAGGCAAAATAAATTCATTTTCATGTGTGGAACTGGAACCATTTGATTCCTCAGGTAATTTCGCTCTACAAGAGCTTCTGCAACTTCCTACTGTGACAGTAGGCTCAAAATACCATCTAGAAAAGAGTTAGYGAGGACCTGGGCGCTCCCTGCTATCAGAGGGAGTGCAATTAATGCAAATTAACTGAATACACAGAAAAGATGCAAGAAGGCTCCCTGCTACATTTCCCCAGCCCTGTGTGGGATTCAGCATGACAGGAATGCGAGCTTTGGGAAGATGGGTTAAGACTAACTGAGGCAAGAACACAGTTGCATTTGTCTAGCAGAAAGGAATTAAAAGTCGTTCTCAGACTTCAGGAAATACTTCATCTGTACCCAATGCAAAACAGCACAAAGGACTTCTCCTGTCCCCTGAGTCTGCGTGGGGCTCTTGTCCTTGCTGTCCTGCTTGTGAAGCTGCCAYGTGTCTATAAGGAAGGCATCGAGGGAACAAGGTGGGGTTTCTTGCTTCTCCCAGCCCTGGCTGATGGCTTGAGGAAGTCACCTTGGGTGCCAGAGTTCAGGGTGTTCTTAACGTCCCTCCAGACAGCTAAAGAGACTGAGACACCCTCTGCGCCCTCATCTTTATATATTTATCTATAATTCTCAAGTTTTCTTCATCTCCCCATGACCCTGGCCCTCATCTATTCAAGCCTGTGCAGTCCTGTAGGATTCACCAGGGAGGAACCAAAACCTCTTGAAGTGATTTGAAAAACCCGGTAAACACAGTGCTGCAAACTACTGCATCTGGGTAGGGGAGAAATACCCGGGACATAAAGAAACCTGTGCAAGGAGTGCATCAGCCCAGGGGCTGCAAGTGAGGCAGAGTGCAAGGTGTTCTTTACATAGAGCTTGAGCCGCAGCACTCACCCAAATCGTGAAGCCATGAAGCCCACCAGCCAGTACCACCGTGTTGCAGCCCCATCACAGACAGGGAGGCTGCTCTGACACACTCTGCTCCAGAAACCTGGCTCCACGCAGCTCCACCTTTGCGTTTGCATCAGGAAGGCAGGCTCGCCTCCCCTGACGTGGCGCTGACGTTTGATTGCTATTTCCATCCCTTTCCGCAACGCCTTTCGGGGGCTGCTGAGCAACGGGAGGGCAGAGGCAGCTGCTGTTCATTTACACGTTCCAGCATCGCGTGGGGAGAGGAGGGGACGGGGCACAAGCACCGCCAGGCCCACAGGACACCCCCGCCTAACCCAAATAAGCAGCCCCGTGCAAGGCAAAAGAGGAGAAACGGCAGGACTGGAGCTCATCCACCCAGCTGTAGCTGCAGCAGGTGCAAAACAGCACCCACAGGCTCCCGGGCCTCTGCCAWCTTAACCCCCTGTCATTCAGTGTCCTCCCTGCTAACATGGTCCCTCTGCAAAAAAGCCCAGCAGTAAAAGCAGCATCTCTCTAGTCGGCTGATTTGCTCTCTGTGTGCATCAGCCACAGCTGCTGGCTTTAATGACGTAAATCAGCTTTTATTGCTTCTCACTTCGGAAGCACAAAGCCGAGGCAGCTAAGCGGTCCTGGTCCTCCAGCTTCATTTTCCCTAGAAGCACTTACTGTGGCGCAGGCGCTCCCAGCTTTATTAAGCTGCCAAGGGTCTGGGSGCTGCATGGAGGCCTTCCTCTTGCTCACAGAGCCTTCCTCACCGGCACCGATCCCTGAGATGGGAAGAGCCTCGCTGCGTGCTGGATTCCCAAGAAACTTGCAAAGCTGCTGTTTGGTGGGAAGAGCCTTTCCTCGTGACTTTGGCACCCTGTTGACAGCAGTCACAGGATTTCACAACGGCATTTGATGCTTCTCTAAGGCAAACTGCCCTCGAGGAGGATGAAACTGCAGTTCAAACACAGCCTTTAATGCAGGGGCTCTCCTTGCTCAGCTCTGGTTAATGCCAGGGCATTAGGAGCAGTAGGGCAGCAGGGTCACATTGCCCCAAACACCTTCTCCCAAGGCTCCCAGTGGATCTGACACCTCCCTCCCTCTCCTCGTGCCCCAAGTCTTGGCTGAGGGCACTGCATGCCCAGCTCAGAGGAAGAAACAGAGGGAAACTCGAGCACTGCCCATTCCCACTGCTGCCAGGTACAGCCCACAGCCAGAGTTCAAGGCTAAGTTACACTCGCTGCCCACCCCGTGCAAGACACAAGATGCTGCCCCAAAGGTGCAACGAGTCGAGTAGATGTGACGATGCCTGAGCATCTACCTTTGCCTCCTCCATCACAGGGACTCACAGGGCACCTTGCTGGGCAGCAGCACAGAGCATTCGCGCAGGGTGGAAACGTCCTGCTTTAACTCAGACCAAGCTCAATAGATCTATCTGCATAACGAGGCTATTTTATCTTACAGTGCCGCTTTTGTGACTTATTTTTGTGTTTCATGAGTTTACCAGCAGAACACCCAGAATATTTTTCTATCTAATCAGGGAGGAGAAAAGGACCTCAGCCATTACTGAAGAAAACTGGAGAAGAGGCCAACCAAAAGCCAGATTTGCATTGCTCCCTCCAAGTGTTTTAAGACATCAAGAGTATGGAAACCAAGACCATCCTCTTTGATTTTCCCTCACAAGTGCAAGGGTGCCAGGCCAAGAGAGGGAGATATTTACAATGCATTTTGCTGCCTCTGAAACAAAGGGATTTAGGTCATCCATAGCTAGTCAGGATACGGTTGTATCATTCATGCCTTTATTCCTGAGCGTGCAGCAGGCCAAAGGCATCATGCTGGTGACTCTTGATATGCATTAGCATTGAACTGTTAGGTCGTATTTTGTTGCATGACCTGGTTAGCGTGCTCTCTCCAATATCACCAGGCAATGAAAATTCAATTGCAGCACTCAGAAATTTCCATCCGAGTGACAAAGCAAGGGCAAGTAGCTTCAGCATCCTAGGAAGCATAACCAGAGGGAGAATACAGAGTTTCTGTGGTTACAATAATGCTCCACRTCCTTAGAGTTTGCATGACAGTTARCACTTAATTACCAAACAAAAAAGGATTGCATCAACTGTACAATGCAGAAATAGCCAGGTATCATCATGGACTCTGGTTAAGGAAAAAAAAGAGATGATTTTTTTTGAAAGAGTGACTGCCTGGGCAGAATCCTGACTGCAGCATCTGTTCTCTCTTGTGCTCATAGAGAGCTGCATTGCTTGGGTGAGGGGCAAACAAACCTATTCTTGCAGTGACATCTGAATTCAGCTATAAGCAATTCTGTACCTCTTGTGTAGGAAAAAGAGTGTGAGAGTTTATTTTTTATGGGCAAGTGGTTATCGCTATGAAACATACCTGGTGTGGCTGCTTTCCTTGTGGGAGTCCAAAGTGTCTGCAGGTGCATGGATTCAAAATAAGTTTTGAAATAGGAGGTGACATGAAGAGGCCACTGATTCAAGAGTCCTTGTTTTAGTGAATTGCTGGTAGATGCAAAATCAAGTTGGACAAAAGCAGTACAGTAGGTCCAAAAGCAGATGAAGACATTTATATGGGAAAAGTATAAAATGGGCTTTTCATGCCCATTGCTGCCCCTACAGAGCCGGTAAGTGCCCTCCTGTCTCAGGCAGGACTCTGCCTGAAGTGTTGGAGGTTTCTACCAACATTTGTTGAATCCTTGAGAAGAGAAAGGAAGAGGGGAGATGAGGAGGACTTGCTGCTTTAGCTGGTAGCAGCACAGCTTGTGCTCTGCTGTCCACTGCATTTCACCACTGCAGGTTTCTCTCTAGCTGGGAGTTAATTTTGCACCTCTGTTAGGGAAGAGGGGCCCTTGCTGCTCGGTAGTGTCTGCTTCTCCTCAGCAAGAGGGAAGGAAGAGATGGGTTAAAATCACAACCTTTCCCAGGCAATACTGGGCCATAAGGGAAGTCAGAGGACTTCTGTAGGCTCCCTAGGTTGTCTTGGGAAGTGACCTGGGCCTAGCTGAGTCACACGGCTGCCTGTGCTGTGCTACACCACCAGCAAGGGTGTGCGGTAAGTCCTGCGGCATCCCGAGGAATCAGAGTAAGCCACAAGCACCGTTTGTGCCTTTGTTTCTCCATGCTTTGGATTTAAATCCTCCATAAGGATGATAGACATGCGCCAAAAGGTCCTGTGGGAACTCCACCTAAACCCAGTTAACTACAGTTGCTTTCTGTTCCACGATCCTCCTCCACTTGCTTCTCTTCTGCTCCCAAAGGGCTTTGGGCAGCCCGAGATCTTTCCAGGTGCCCACATGGTAACTGGTTTGATGCCACGGGCCCCAAAGAGGAGCATTACYGCATGGTTTCTGCAACACCCAGCATGAAACGAGTCAGCAGAAACACAATGTGCAACCGTGGGGTGTCCCTGTGAGCAGGCAGCTCGCTCTGTGCCCGAACAAATAGCCCTGTCCAAGGCAATACTGACAGACAAACACACACCGAGTTCCTCTCACAGGGTAAAGCCGGGACATTAAGACACCTTTCTAATAACTCCAGAGGCCGGGACAGCTAATGCATTTTTATATTTATGCCTAATCACGTGTTTCCCCTGTATCGCTGCAATCCGCGGTGGAGAGAAGCTCGTGGGCTCCACGCGCGGCCGGCACGGTGCGGCGCCCGCGTCCTCCTTCACTCTAGGTTGATTGGAAGTGGCCTTCGCCCACGGAGCTGCTTTTATCTAAGCAAAACCCTGCGGCCACCACTAACGCGTGTGGCCGCGAAGGAAAGCGTTGAGCGCTAACGCGCGGGGCCYGGCGGCGGCCGAGCGGGAGAGGGGTGGAAGCGGTCGGAGGAGCCGCCGCTGCCGCCCCGCGCCGCCCCAGCACGGCCAACGCGGCCGGACCTCGGCGGTCCTGCTCTGTAGCGCGTCCCCCGCGCTCCCTGTAACATCTGCCGGCCCCGCGCGCGCACTAGCGGGGTCGGGGAGCGCCGCCCCGAGGAGATGCCACGGGGAAAAGCCATGGAAGCAGTGCGGTGTGTAACCCGACTTGCCTCCGATAACCCCCGTGCCTCCTGGGGGTGCTTCGTCCTCGCTACGCCTGCTCTCTGCTCTCCCGTTCCTGGTCGGGACGTGGCCACGCGACCGGCGCGCGCCCTCCGGCTTCGGCCTCTCGCGCCGACCACCACCAAGCTTCGGCACCTTCACAACTTTGCCTCGGCCGCCTCACCTTATCTAGCCAAACAAAGGCCAAAAAATGAGCATTTGAGAGACCCACCAAATTTGGCAGGTATGAAGCTTCTCTTGAACTGAGAAAAAAAAATATATCAAAACAAACCCAAGTTAAGAGTTGAAAGCAGCGGGGAACATGACCATTGGTTGACTTTGCCGTGAGCTCTTTCCACCACCATGAAACCGCGTGGCGGGTTTCACAACTCTCTAACCAGTCCCATTCTCATGCCTTTTATCTTTCTTCTCCTATGTCCTTTTTTGCATGATCTGTAACCAAAGAGCTGCCTTCTTGCTGCCTATGTTTGGACTTACGCCTCTTCTCCTGGCGAGTAGCTAATGTTCTTCTGCGAGGCATGAGCTAACATCCACGGTAGCTGGCTGACCCGTGGTCTGGTTGTTCTTAGATACCCTCTCTTGCAGTCTTATTTTTCTCAATCTATCTTTTTAAACAGCTTTTCCTTCTCCTCATTCACTTTTTTCTCCCTTCTCTGCCAGACACTTTGTTGAGCCACCGACATCATGATGGATCATGATGGATCATGAGCATCAAAGACAACCACACAAAAAAAGTTAAAGATACTCAAAAAACAGCACTAAACAAAATAACAAAACCACCTAAAGCTCACGGCAAGGTCATTTCCAAAATTATGTCACCTTGATGTCTGCTTCCAACTCTGGATTAATTCAAGGATCTACCAGTCCTTGGTTAATGTATCCCATCAATTGTGTGCCACATGCACTCAAGAAAGTAAAGGATATATAAATAAAAATAAGAATTTAAGAGAACTTTTTAGAAAATCTGCATGAGCAACCCCGACACTCATTCTGAGCAAAGGGCAAAGTAACCTCCCGTCCATGCATGGTGCATGATGATATTTGAGAGCTGGGACCCTGTAAATTATATGATGCACAGTCAAAACAGCTCTGTAGTGCTAAATGCCCTTAAATTACTAACTGTATGTCAGATGTCATAGGGATTGCATCTGTGTGCATATACGTTCAGCTGTATGTATACATAAATTTATCATGTATATTGTTGCTTTTTTTTTTTGCCATTTTCCTTCTTAATTTAGCTTAGATCCCCTACATGTTGAACACCCCAGGGTCACTCTCTCTGGCCTGACATGTCATTTCCTTTCTATTGCAGAACCGCATGCACGAATCACTGAAACTGTTTGACAGCATCTGCAACAACAAATGGTTCACAGATACATCCATCATCCTCTTTCTAAACAAGAAGGACATATTTGAGGAGAAAATTAAGAAGTCGCCACTGACTATCTGCTTTCCTGAGTATACAGGTAATGAGAACGCCGTGTGTGCAGGAATGTACAAAGGCTGCACAGTGCGTCTGGCCAGGCTGTTACAGTCAAATATTGCACACAAAGAGGCTAAAGATGTCCAGAGGCATAGGTAGAGTCCCCCTTGGCTTCACTGCATGTTTTCTTTTTCAACACATACTCTAAGGTGACCCCAACCACATCTTGGTGGCTGTTTAGTGGCCTATAAAGGATGTGATTGACCTAAATGCAAGTTCTTTGTGGGCAAATGGCCAGCACCATTTGCCCACAAAGGCAACTTGGAGGGCTCTTAGGGTGCCCACAGGCAGATGGGAGACTTTGCTGTCTTGCAAAGTGATACCTCCCCCAAACACAACACAAATCACCAGCCCCTCACGCCTGCCACGAGTGGCCGCCTGCACCAGTCCCACACACCTCAAGCTGCAAGATGTTCTTCACATCCATCCAGGAGACCCCTGCTCTCCATTCTCCAGCCATTATGGAACAGGTGGGACCAGCACTGACACCTGCCCCATGCAGGCCCAGCCGAGCCCTGAGTCTCACTGAGGAGCAGCAACCTGAGCTTTAATGACCAGAGCCGAGGCTCTGCAACAGGGCCAAGCTCCAGAAGCCCTCGTGCGTGCTGCTTGCCTGGCATCTGACCTGCTAATGATGGGAATACATCACCCATGCAAAGGCTGCAGCTGCACCCTGCTGCTTCCTGCTGCACCTCACTGTCTTCCACAAACCCTCATTACCATTCGGAGGCTGCACAAAAATAAACTTTTATCACCATGAATTATTTAAGCTCACCAGAGACATCCAGATGAATCAAGCTGACAGACAGAGAAGCTGATCTTTGTCAGGAAACACAGTTGTGAACTGGGAGTACCAGGAGTGTCACATTTCTGGGCAGGCCAACAAATCATTAACCAGAGTCTCCTATCTGCAAGCACTTGCTCTTTGCTGGGAATCGGCAGGCGTGATCCATCATCGTGCCTGGGGGCTGAATGGGAAATGCCCACGGAGCTGAGCGACCCGGCTGAATTCAGTAGGACCACCTGCAGGCCTCCTCTCCAGGAAGGTYGAGATGTTTGTCCCTACCAACACATCGTGGCTGTCTATCCACCCTCGTGGTGCAAACACAACTAAAATATTCTTGACACATTTGCCTAAAATATTTAGTGATGGAAAATCCATGGTCCTTGCAATAGGAAGTAATGCTAACCCCTATTTTTTTTTCCTGACGGTAAGTTCAGTTGCTGCTTGCCCTCCTTTGGAAGGCTTGCAGAGCAGCTCAGCACCATCCTCTTCATAGCAGTGCTCCTACATCCTGGAGGATCACTATAATACCTCTTCCTTCTTCCCTATTCTTCAGGGAAGAAACATGTATCTTCCACTGTTTCCTCACAGATCATATTTTGTGGACTGAAGTTGCTCATCTCCCCTGAGGTCCCCCCAAGAACCACACCAAAGCAATACTCTTGTTGCTGACAGCAGAGAGTTTAGAAGGACGGGGAATCRAATTATATCTAAAACTCTTTATTCCCAAGCTATCCAAGACCCAGAAAGTCTCTCTGCTGATTTAACCAGGAATCAGATCGGAGGGGAAGGATGCAGCCAAGCACCTCACCTGAAGGCTGGCGCTCAGCAGCACCAGTAAAGCTCAAAGTTAACACGTGCTGCTTTAAGCCCAGGTATTAGGCCCTAGCGCACGTTCAAGCTCGCTCATCTACGCTTTGCTGGACATAAGCAAAGGCAGAAAAGCTCACAGGATCAGGCCCTCCATTTGCCTTGCAAATATCATGGAAAGCAAGCACCAAGGAAACACCAACAGTCAGTYGCTAAAACGCAGCATTCAAGTTGCCCTGGAGTTGAAAAGAAAATATTTGATGGAAGGCTGTAAATCAAACAGGAGACTTAACATCAAATGCTGGTCACACAAAGTGCTTTTCGTAAAACGAAGTTCTAGATGTCTGTTGGTTTTGTCCCCYAACAGAGAATTATTAGAGGACTGCCTCCACAAACACGTTCTCTGCGTGCTGCAGCACCCACTGTTTCCATCTCCTTAATTCACTCATGCTTTTAGCTAATGCACAGGGCTTAGCAAAGCCACAGCAGAATCCAGGGCACATTTCAAGCAGAGCTGGAATTAGTGATCCCCTACCCCTCAGAAGGGATCTAGGCTCTAAACAGGCTCTAAATCCTTGTGTCTTTGAGCAACCAAATGTGTTTTTTTTTTTTTTTTTTTTTTTTTGTAAAATTCCTTATTCACAGTGAGTGCATCTATTCCCACGCTCTTAAAAGGGATCTTAGTACAACAGCCTGCCCACAGCAAACACTGGGCTGCTTTCAAGTGTGTTCTTAAGTGGCACAGCCTTTACAACCTTGTGTTTTTCAAACATGAATGGATGCACAAGTGAGCACGAGAGCTTGGCCAAATCAGTAGCTTCAACTACAGCAAACCTCAGCTGCAAGTTGATCCAGGAACACTAGACTTTAAACACACAGACCCCAAAAACACACACATGCACGCACACCATGTGCAAAACAGGAGGTTTTAATCAAGATATTTATAGGCATCAAACCCAGAAACACCTTAGCTACAGCTCTAGCAAAGGGAACCATGATGTCACTTGCTGCAAAAAGAGACGTTTCAGTCCTTTTGAGCAACATCATCTTTGTTGCATGGGTCGGTCCTTTCATGCTCTTTTCTCTTAGCAATTCAGGGAAGGGAGGGCACAGTTACTAACTACACTGCTGAATTCCTGGCCGTTTTAGTTGAGCTGCCCCATCAGAAGCTGAGCTTTGGTCCCAAGTTCACCAAGGCCAGAGCAGGCTGTGGTAGGTGCTGCTKCATACCGTATGGACAGGACTGCTTTAACGGGCTCTTTGTGCTTTCCCCTCGGCTCTCCCCTAGGCCCAAACTCTTTCACGGAGGCCGTGGCCTACATCCAGGCTCAGTACGAGAGCAAGAACAAGTCGCCCAACAAGGAGATCTACACGCACATCACCTGCGCCACCGACACCAACAACATCCAGTTCGTCTTCGACGCCGTCACGGACGTCATCATCGCCAACAACCTGCGGGGCTGCGGACTCTACTGAGCCCCGCTCGGCTCCTCCTCGCGCACCCCAGGAACACCCTCCGCTCCCCGGACAGGTTCTCTCTTTATTTTTATCTCCTCAGAAGATGAAGAAAGGCACAAACCCCCCTTTCTGCCCCTGAAAGCCTTTGCAGAAAGTTCTGCTTGCTCCTGACCCCGTCTTTTTTATTATTATTATTATGGGTTTGGCCCGTTCCCACGCTGTCTCCTCCTACTGCCCCATCCCTGAAGGCAGCCAAGTCACACTGCTGCAGGAGCAAATGCTGCTCCCACAGTTGCATTTCAGTTGCCAAAAAAACAAACAAAAAAAAATCATTTATGAAAAAGAGTAATTCAAAGCCTTAAAATATCCATCAGCAACAGCCTAGTTTGGAAAAGAAATCTTTTCCTTCCTTAAAATTAGGGGATATTTTTAAATCCTATTATTTATCTTTAATTACTACTCCAGTAGTAATTCCACTTCTCGTTGGAAGTGCTAGGCAAACATAAATAACTTTGAGGGTACCGTATGGCTCCAGTTCCTATCCCAAAGCTGGARGGCCAGTGTTGAACACAACCACAGCAGCTTGGATTTGTACATTACCCTTTCCATTTCAGACAGCTTTCTGAACAAGCAAAAACAGCCATATGGAGTCCTGCAGGTGTCTAAAATAGACACAGTAACAAAACCTACTAAGCGTGGTCTAAAAGCACTCACTACCGATAAGAGGTTTACCTCAAGTTTCCAAAATTAATGTTAAAGTACATCTAGCGAGTGCAGTAACCCACTTCTCACTCCAGCCTGCCCTTCTGTGCTTCACCCGACCCCTCAGACCTGCTGCCCCGAGCAGGGAAGTCACAAGAGCTTCGTTTTAGCCCTTACAGTGTGAGACGTGGGTGGCACGGCAGGTCCACGTGTGGCCACAATGTCCCCAGAGCGACCACAGTCCTACAGACACMTGGTGTTTCTTTGGGAGCTTCAGCCCATAGGGCAGCCGGGCCCACCAGAAGCACCTCGCCTTGCTCTCTGCCAGCCAGAGTTGGATGTTTCACTACTGAAAAGGCAGACAGGTGGTTTTGGAAGCCTTGCTGAGCTTGGGTGACAGCAGAGCACATGGGAGACACTTGGCTCTTACCTGCGCCTTGGCCATCTAAACACGCACATAAGCCTGGCCTTGCACTGCCAGCCCAGGCAGAGACCTGCTGCCTGCCCACGCTGTGCCTCAGCATGTGGCCAGAGGGGACAACGTGGGSTTTAGTGTCCCCAGACAGGTCATTTCTTTACCAAAATCTAAAGTGGGAGGGATGGTTTGTACACTGGCTATTTAATGGATGGGGAAGGCTCAGGGAACCCGTTTGATCCAAGTAAAACAGGAATAGGAAGGAAGAGTGCAAGAAAGAGAGAAAGGGAAGGCAGAAGTGGTAGGAGGGAAAGGTGTGGAAAGGGCAAGAGTAACACCCAGCTGAACCAAACACATAGGAAAGGAGGAAGGACAAGCCAGGATGGCTCAGGGTGGGTTGGGTGCCAGCAGCCCACTGTCCTCAAGAGCATCACAAGCAGGTATGTCCTCTCTTGGGAGCCCAGGAGAGGGAGCTGCTTTAGATCTCCCAAAAGCAACGTTTTTCTTCAGGGGCATCTCCAGGAAGGTTACTATCTGTTTGCTCATGAGGGAAGGATAACGGGAGAGGAGACCAAAGCAACACAGTGCAAAAGAAAGAGGCCAGGTGAGCTTGAGTGGGTGACAGTCCACTGACTGGGAGAGGTACAGTGGGACAGGATGGAGAAGAGCAGGAAAGTAGGGCCAGTTTGGGACAGAARCTGCAGAAGGGAGACATGTCAGGTTGAGGCAGCAGAAAGGAATAAGGAATGGGAAGAGAAGGACCCATGGGAGGCCAGAAGACCTCTCCATTGGAGGCTTAGATCTGCCAGGAAAAGCACTTGCAGGACATCTGGGWCAACCCAATGACATGAGCCAGGAGCAGCCAGGACACACAGGGCACTGCTGTCTGAGAAAACCAGGGGGCTGGTACCCACCAGACCTGCTCACCACCCAGCACAGCTTATAGCAGTGTTAATAATCCCCTAAATAGCCTTAAATTATACAACAGCTTTAGCCAGGACTCACTGCTGCTCTGCTGGACACCAACAGCAATAACACCCGGTCTGCCTCGCTCTGCTCTGGCAGAAGGGAAGGAACCACCTTGCTCTTCACCATCGCAGCCTTAAAATACCTCCTGCAGCTCCCGAAGCTGCAGATTCCCACGTGCTCTTGGCATCAACTTTGCAGCTCCCAGCCCCTCTGAGCTCCGCTTAGTGCCAGCGCATCACTGCACAACTCTAAACCAAAGGATTAATAAGCACAAAGCCCCTGCCTACAAGTGGCTTGGTTTTAGTTCAGGTTTTCCCAAGCCTGTGAGAAGCAGGTGCCTAATTTGCCTTGGTTCCTTAGAAAATACCACCACAAACCCCTACTCTGAAGAGATTTATATGAGTGCTAAGGCAAAAGTTGAAGGACTGGCAGTAAAATGCAAGGAACCTCCTAAACACCTTTTCTTGCAGGAAAAGGTGTTGAGGAGTTTGCATATATAGGYGATACAAGAGGGAGGACTCAGAGCTCCCCCCCCAATTTCCACACAATCCCAAGCCCAGCTTTATTTCTGCACGTCCTTTGCCGACTTCAGAGGTTGTTTGACTCCAGATGAAAGCCATGCTGCTGTCTGAAGCTAGCTAATTAATTTGATTAATTCATTGCCAAACAATTGCTTTGCTATTCAAGACACTAAAAAAAATGGTAATTGGATGGTGCTTCTGCCCCAGAAAGAGGCAGGACATTCACTGGAGTGATGCAGAACAACAACAAAGAAATAGCGACCTGGACTCCAGCCCTGTGCAGGTGCTGGGAAAGTGGTGCCCCCCATAACATGTAGGTTTGTAGTGATGTAAATTTGCACCAATTGGGCTACAAATCTGAATGCTACTTGAGACACAATCCACACATAGCCACTGGATCTCAATTGAAACACCACACCTGTATGCTGTGGAGCACCATTGATGTTCTCTGGCAGGTCTTTACTAAAGGCTATCAGAAGAATTTGATTGGTAGCACAAGGCACTGCAAGATTTCAGAGTTTATATTATTATATTTATTCCCACCCCTTAATGTGGGGGAAATTTTATTCCAAGTGGTAATAGACACTGCTCCCCGTGAAGGTGGCACCGAGCCAAGACTCAAGGATTTTCCAGCAAAGAGCACACAGGGATCTTCTAGTGAAGGAAATTTAAGTTAACTCAAATACAAACTCCAAACATAGCCATCTCACCCGTMCCAGCACTGGGCACATCCCCAAGCTGGGCTCAACCTGAGCTCAGAGACGTGACTGGGAGCTCTAAGCCCCTCTYCTTCCCCTGCCCTCCTGCAGCGCTGGCAAATTCCCCAGCCCTTCTGCTTCAGCATCCCAGGGGGAAATCGGTTATAACCGATGCCTGGTGCTCCCCGGGGAGGAGAGGGGAGATGTTGCCGTCCTGAGCCTTTTCTCTCATTTTCTTTGGCATATYGCACGTCTAAAACTTCATTTCAGCTGCTGACATCCCCTCCCGCACGCAAGTGTCGTGAGGATTAACTGACAGAGGGGTGAGACAGTGTTGGAAAGATGAAATGCTTGAGTGTTAAACACTACTATTTTTCCCACTTCATGGCCTCATATAGATATTTTTTGTCTCCAGAAAGGCTGCCAAAGTGTTGCTTATCTCTGGGAGGCTGCATTCCTCCCAGCTATGTCTTTTGCAGACACTACTTTGCCCCGTGCTTTTTTTATTCCCAAATAATGCCAATCATTGCAGGAGCGGCCTCCAAAGCAAACCTTGAAACACCCCACCTGCTTAAAAGCCCCCCCTTCAAACAGCCCTTCAGGCTGTGAAATTGCAGTGCTTTTAGATACAGCCCGAGGATCTCAACCTAGAGATAAGGAAGCCTGMAAGATCAGCAAGGCCACCCGGCCCCTCCGCCTGCCCCATCCAGACATCCTGTGTCCCATCCAGACACAGCAAACAGCCCAAGTCGCTCCCTACCACCTCCCAAGACTCTCTTCCACATCCCTCTGGAGTTTTACACGATAATTGGCCTTTTTTCCCCAACTTCCCTCCCATGTCCTCTCCTGGATAGCTTCAGACCGCGGTCTCCTTTGGCTGAGGCTCAATAACATCAGCTTTTCCAGGCAGGACTAAGCTCAGCCGAGCTTAGCACCCTGCTGACCACTAGGACCTCTACCAGAGGAGACTGCCTCAGGAGACAGGGTGATACAGAAGGCTTGTCAGTGGGGCTGAYTGGGTTTGAATGGACACCCAGAGCCCGTTACTTGCTCAGGTTAATAACTGCAGAGTCTGGAGGGTGATTTGGCTCTGAGAAGGTGCCTTTCCTCATGGACATCACTTGCAAGTGAGTTTGCAGTTTCTCCCCAGTTGCCTGAAGTTAGTCAGGGGGAATTCAATGTCTTTGGAAAATCCCAAGCAGGCAGAGAGCTGCAGAGAATCAATTCAATACGTTAGGGAAGTATATAATGTTGCGTACACTAAAATCTACCTGCCGTTCTTAACCTGTTTCGTATAAATGCATTGCATGCCTGCAAGTTAACAGGGCAAAAATACAGTCTCCATGTAACAGAGCTTGGAACTGGGTGTGTAAAATGTCCTTTTGACAACAAATCCCATGTTTTGCAAACTCTGCAGCATGATGTGAGGCACCAGGCTGTCCCCACAAGCAGAGCTCCCTGCAGCTCTGCCCAGACAGGGCAGGAGAGGGCACAAATCACCAGCTGGGACCTCTGCAGTGGGTGCTGTTGAAAGGGCAGCCCTGCAACCCGGCCTAGGAATGGAGGCAGAACATCCCAGGGCCTAAAAATCTCCCATGGAAGCTGGGGAGAGATTCATCACTGACTTCCGGGGAAGCAAGGCTGACCATTAATAGAGGTGACTAGAAAAGCTAATAGGCCTGCATCCATGGGGGAGCCAGGAGGGACTTCAGGGCTACAACCAATATTCCTACAGCTATTTCCAAGTTTTCTAAAGCACTGTTTAAACATGAGGCCCCACCACACACCCGCATTGCCACCCAACAAGAAAGCAGAGCCTTATCCCTCTACTCACACCCACGGGCCACGTTCTGGCCGCTATTTCATTTCCTCCGAGGAAAGAGCAGACAGGAGCACTTGCCCAAGACATCGGTGTACGTTATGGTTTCCGAGCTCCTGCAATGATACGCCATAATTGATGTTGACAGATATAGGTGCGTGACCTATATAAGATGCTGCGCCGAGAGCGTGGCGAGGAAACTAGACTCCTCGTAGGAATGTTTGTGCCCCAGCCAGCCTGCAAACTCCCTGCAGGCGTCTCAATCCATGCTGCAAAGCCTAACGAGCACAGGCAAGCCATGGAGGGCACCCCTCTTGTGAAAGCCAGGGCGAGGATAACAGGGTGAGGAGACCTCCTTGCTGGCACACAGCTGGTCGGAGGGCAGGGAGGGATCCAACACCCACAGGAACAGCAGGACCGGGCATCGCTCGGTCCGGCTGCTGCAGTGGGAGAGGGCTCTGGTTTGCACTGGTGCCCTGAAAACACCCCCCAAAAGCCAGACCTCCTGCCTGGAGCTAACCTGCCCGTGGGGCGCTGGAGCCGCCTGCAGAGCACACGGGGCTCCACCTGCCCCAGCCCTGCAGGCAGCTGCTACACCCCAAAGCTCCATCCCCCCCACCAGCCCCCTCTGGGGCACAGACAGGCCCCTAACCCATTGAAAACCCACTCCCCCTTCAGCATCAGCCCCACGCTTTGCTCCCMACCTCACACTGCAAGGTCACGGGTGACCCGCACCCGGTCCCCACCTCCATTTCACCCCACAGCTCCACACAGGAACAGGGACCCACAGCACAGGCAGCTCCCGGGAGCTGCTGTCCCTCCTCCTGCCCCTGCTCTCCCCTCCACACGTCTCCAGCACCAAGAGCTTCTCCAAGGAACACCGGCAACCGCCGCCACTTTTCCTTGTGCCAGTTCCTCGCTGTGAATCATTTCCCCCTGCATGTTTGATGGCCCAATCTGTATTAACTGTAATTTTGTACGAAGAGTGACTGTCTGTTGGTTTAATAGAATGTTAGTTATTGTAATAATTTATTGGCTGTCAGTAATGTATTTATTAGGTAAAAAAATGTTAATAAAGTGCCAGCTCTTTTCTAGTGTGAGGGGGTTTTTATTGCGTCTCCTCGAGCACGTCGAGCGTCTCCAAGCCCTTCCCTGCGGTACCTTCACTCCAGGCACTCACGGGGGCAGCACATCCTCTCCCCGCTCCTGCAAAGAGGCAGGGAAGCATTGGAGCAATTACGGGTTATCTGTCACGGCTTCCTTCTCCAGCAGGTAAGAAACTTGAAAAGGATAAACCTATAAGGTATTTATTTTATGTCAGCATTTGGCTTTTCTCTTTACCATGGAAGACAACTTTTCTGAGGTTTGCGCTTGTTCCTCAGCTGCTTGAAATTAGTCTCTTCCTTCTAAGATTGCTCAGCACCATTTTTATGCCAGCRCGCCCGAATTCAGGAACGATCACTGCGAGCCCTGGGTGCAGCTGGGCACCCCGCTGCCCGAGCCCTGGGAGCCACGGCTGCCCAGCACAGCGTGCGAGACCAGCCAGGGCCCGGGCCGCCCTGCAGCCGATCCCAGCCCACSAGGTTCTCGGTGCCCCAGCCCTGCAGAGAAGCTGCATCTTTCTCAAGGCGCTCACGTCCAGCTCCAGGCCTTGGCTCTCAGCATGCCCTGGATGCCACGTTACRTTCAATGGGACCATCCCTTCCCACCACTGCACTGCCAGCTCACGCTCTGGCACCGATCCCCCCGAATCCAGCTACAGCACAACTTGAACATGGCAACGATTTGCACRGTCCTCAGTTGTGAGGAAGCACCAGTTCCTGTTGGGTCAGCGCCTCGTTTAAAGACTTGACCATTGGCATGAGCAGTGCTTAATCTAATGCAACACATCCGCATGAAAACCATTTAAGTTATGTACGTCATCAAGAAGAGAGTGATTTTTTTTCCAATCAGGTAGCACATCTGGCTGTGGTGAGTATTGCCCCGATATCCTGGAAATTGCTGCGCTCTTTACTTGTTATGCTGCTCTGTTTTCTCCTCCAGTGTTTTGGTTGCAAGCCTACAAGTAGGAAGCTGCTCATTTCCTTTCAATGAACTCTTAGCATGAGCCTTGCACACATCTAGGGAAAAAGAGCTATTTTTGCTCCATTCCAATAAATCATGCTTTTCCCCCATTACAGTAGCACAGGACTTGGTGCTTCATGTCCCTTTAAAATAACTTGCTATTATAATTATTAATATTTTTCCTAGTATACGAGACAACACAGGGGGCAAGCAAGGAAGTAAAAATCACCCAGATGCCCTGCCATGAAAAACTCAAGGCTTCGCCTTCCCACAAAGGCCGCTTGAGCAAGTTCCATGAAGAAAAAGCGCCTCCATTTGTGGCAGTTTCTCTTTGTCCCTGTGAATACGATTTTTAAAGGATCAAATAAGGTCCAGAAGCACCGAAAAGCGACCGCTCGGCATGCAGAGCTCCTCTTTGTCTGGCACAAGCCAGCGCAGTCTCAAGCTAACAGCCTGTTAAGAGAGAATCAGACATCTGCTAAATGTTGCATGCAGCATCTACAGGCGAGCCGTAGCTAATAGAATGATTCACTAATAAAATATTCATGGTAAACGCCAAAACGTGTAATTGGGTCATCATTTCGGTAAGAAATACTCGCGTTCTCCTGACTCTTCAGTCAGAGTGAAGCATTCTGCAGCCATGGCAAGGGGCATCAAAGCTTTTCCATCTGACTTCATGAGTTTCTTGTTTTGCATAGCTAGTTTGGTACCAGTAATGAAGTGGGTGAACATGTACGCTGATAAAGTGGACTTTGGACTGCCCGCTTTTCTTCCCAAACCTTCAGCAGAACAAGAGGAAACGTCTTTGCTTATTTWAAGAGCACGTTAACAATGGAGAAAAGAGTTTTTGAGAGCGCCGGCACAACCGTCTCTTCTAGYCAGGGGCACCGCTGCACTCCCACCCTTGTACTAACAGCTCGTGCATGCAGGCGCCCATGGAGAGGCATCTCGCTGCGATTTAAACACAGCTTTAAAATCTTGTGGCAACTAAGTCRGAGCAGGCTGCCCTCATCTGCTGCTTTCACTGTCTTTCCCTCTCTCCTGTCTGCTCTTCCCTCCTCCCCATAACGTCTCTTGGGGCACGGTGGAGACGTCGTGTCACCCATGTACTCAAGGATGGCACGTCGTGGAGATGTGAGCTGTAGACACCACCTCTGGCTGTCTTCCTGCCAAACCTCTTCCACGCTCAAAGTCATGCTTAGGAGAGCGGTGAGGTGGGCTGGGTAGAGAGAGGACCTGTGTTTACTGTCCATTGTGTAGCAATGCCCTGGCTATCACTGCTGCATTTCCAAAGATGAAGATTTCTCGAGAGGCTTGAGGGCCTGGGTAGGATGTGACCTCCCTCAGCCTCAGAGAGATCTCAGGCCATGTGCTCAGCTCAGCACCAGCCTTGCTGGACCAGTGCTGGTTACACAGCGTAGCGAGCACCCTGCGCTCCCAAACCCACCTACATCYCTGTGCCCAGTGCTCCCAGCCCCTAAGGATGCGACAGCCCAGAGAGAAGCAGCAAAACTGCAGGGCCACAGCTGCTGCCTTTCCCCAGAGCTTTGCATCTAGGTGGGTGATGAGCAAATGGCCATGGCTCTTTGGAGCTCCACGTARGAGCCTTGGCCAGGAGCAACCCATGGAGAGGACCTTTCCCACTCCTGCAGCCTGCCTCGACCTGGGGAGACTTCATCACCTTCCCCCCAGCCTCTGTAACCATCTCATGTTTATCACTGTCTTATCTTAGAAGTTTTGCTTTCTAACCATTTCAGTTGAAAACAGTTCTCCTCTCCTCTAACTCTCTCTTTCTCTTTGCCTTTCTCTCTCCTTTTTCCTCCCTACATGCTCCCTGTTGCAGAACCGCATGCACGAATCTCTCATGCTCTTCGACTCCATCTGTAACAACAAATTCTTCATTGATACCTCCATCATTCTCTTCCTCAACAAGAAAGACCTATTTGCCGAGAAGATCAAGAAATCACCCCTGACCATCTGCTTCCCTGAGTATACAGGTAGGTGCTGCGGCGGGCAGCTGCAACGCACACAAATAACTGTTTCAGCAATTGCTCCTTTTTTAAGGGAAATTCATGACCCTCAGCAGCTCAGGGTGCTTGTGGTGAGGCCGGTAAGTGTTCTTTACAGTGTAAATGAAGAGTACTCTCTACGAGTTGGACCGCACTGAACTGCAAAGTGGAGAAGCAAATGCATTGATGGGTTGGTTCCAGGCTGCCCAAGCTGCCCAAAATYGTAATCACTCTCAGTTGGGAATACCACATGGCACTACCTCTGAGGGGTCAAAATTACTGCTGCTTGGCATGGGGGCTTCTTATGTACAAGGTGAAGCATCACAGAAGTATCCAGCTGGATCAAACTACCACGTTCCGTTCATGCCCATTGCCAGAGTCATGGACCTCAGAAAAAGGCCTGGAGCCAGGTGGCGTGTGGAGGCAACATTAGCCCCCACAGTGCACTGTACAAGCAGGGTGATGCGCATACAGGCAGAAGCAGGATGATGCACGTACAGGCAGAAGGCTGCAGGCAGTCCTTCACCTCRAGCCTGTGAGCTGTTGGTGTCCTCTGTCAGGGGAATGAAGGCAGAGCAGCTCCAGGCCACATAGGTCCAACCTATGAGAGGTCCAACCTCTCAGCCTGTGCTCAGCCTCCAGGGAAGCTGCTCTCACAGCCACCCGAGCCAGGCTCTGCCACCTCGCCCAAGCACTACACAGGGCTAGGCCAGACTGAAGGCATCAGCACCCAAAGAGGCAGCACACACAGGTGTGTGACTCGTCACCTCCTGCCAGTGCCTCACAACCGCGCTCCATCAAAGCCCCCCGCGCAGCGGACACCAACCAGGACGTACCGCACGGAGCCACAGAAGTGGAAGGAACAAGCCCCAAGCCAGCAGCCACTGCTGTAATAAGCGGGACACCGCAGACTCGCATCCTTCCTCTCGTTGCCTCAGCACCAACACCATTATCCCATGCCTGCCAACGCGTCGCCATCCCGCGAGCCTTCCCTGCACAGCCCCAGCTTGAGCAGGGGGCCATGCCCTCCAATGCATTTCTG